AGCCGCCGCGACGCCTGAGCCGGGCATGAGTGGCAAAGTCCACAGGAAGCAGTCGGCAGCTCTGCGCCGTCCCCACTCGCGGCCGTGACTGCCGGACAATCCCGTGTTCAGGCGGTGCGACACGAGGACGTGATGGACAAGCAGGTCGACATGAAGCGCGTGCAGGAGCTGGTGGCCGACCTGCGCGAGCCGCGCCAGGCCCACTACTTCACCGATCTGCTGCTGTGTGCCGGCCTAGGCTGGCTCGCCTTTGCCGTGGCCGTGCTGCCGGGCGCCGTGGGCGTGCGCGTGGCGGCCTTCATCGTGGCGGTGCTGCTGCTGTACCGCACGCTCGGCTTCATCCACGAGATCTTCCACCAGCAGGGCATGAAGACCTTCCGGCATGTCTGGCATGCGGTGTCCGGCGTGCCGCTGCTGATCCCCTTCCTGCTCTACCTGCCCATCCACCAGGGCCATCACAACAAGCTGACCTACGGCACGCAGGAGGACGGCGAGTACGACCAGTTCCATGGCCGTGCCGGGGCGGCGAGCGCCAAGCTCTTCGCGCTGAACCTCGCGCTGCCGCTGGCGCTGTGGGTGCGCTTTGCCATCCTGACGCCGCTGTCGATGGTGCTGCCGCCGATCCGCGAGAAGATGATTCCGGAGTTCGTGCACATGGCGCTGCGCATGCCCTACCGCGCGCCGGCGATCAAGGAGAGCGCCCGCGCCGAGGCCATGGCCGTGGAGTGGTGGTGCTGCGCTTTCGGCTGGGCGATGGTCGCCGTGGGCGCCCTGGCCGGCTGGCAGTGGGTGGCGGCCTGGGCGCTGCTCGTGATCGCGATCGCGACGCTCAACACCATCCGCGCCCTCGGCGGCACGCATCTGTATGTCGAGGAGGCCCAGGGGCGCGACGCCCGCGGCCAGTTGCTGGATTCGCTGAACGTCGACTCCAACAGCCCGCTCACCGTGCTGCTGTGCCCCGTGGGCCTGCGCTTTCATGCGCTGCACCACGTGGCGCCCTACCTGCCGTATCACGCGCTGCCCACCGCCCACCGCCGCCTGATGGAACAGCTGCCCGCGGGCTCGGAGTACCACCAGGTGACCGTGCGCTCGCTCGGCGAAGGCATCGGCCGCCTGCGTCAGGCCACGGCGCTCAGGGCGGCGGCAGGAAAGGCGTGACGACGGCGATCAGTCGCTCGACGTAGGCGTCCTTCTCACCGACCGGCGCGGCGTAATGCAGCGCGCTGCGGGCGGCGTCCA